TTATCTGTATAGTAAAGACAGTTGTTGTTAGTGTTTGTGAAGAAAAATTTTCAGGATCAATGTCATTCTCCCAGTCCTGAGAGTGATGATCAGTGTATCCATAAGTACTCAACTCCAGCTCATCATACTCAATAATCCTCTGTAGTAAGTCACTTACAGCAGGATGTGAGCAGTTCGTGTATGTTGCCATGCAGAGTTGTCATACTGTCCCACCTTTTGTTAAATTGCCTTCCTTCTGCATCAACTTTTCTCTTCTTGAACAATTTGGGATTAATTGTTGGTACTTCTCATTTCCACTTGTCGGGAAATTGCTGGTTAAATGCTGAAGGCTAAACACTGCGACCTAGTGGCGGGATGCCACTACTTCGCAGGTCTCGAAATCAGCGTGCATTGTGGGAGATGTAGTTTATGGTCAGTGTACGTTTTTAATTAATATAGACTTTTATTTTAAGACAACCGTATGCATTGTAAGCTTTCGATGGCCATATGAAATGATCTGGTGGACCAAGAAATCTGCGCAGTAAAAACTGCATGTATATAATAATTTCTTGACTGACCGGACCGTACGAGACTGGACCAAAATTGTTTGATCTAGAAGCTTGTCTCGTAGATCAGTCAAGTCCAGAAGACTAGGACCCTGGGCCCCAAGACACAACACTTTGCCTTGTTACTGCGGTGATATATTGAAAGTGGACCGAGCATGTTGCACTCGTAATCTTTTCCCTCAGACCAGATAAAATAAGTTGCACAAACACTTTGGCTGGGCCTGGGAAAGCCTGGAATGCAAGCCTGCTACTAAAGGAAGGTGTCGAAGTATAGAGGCCATGCTGGAGCTGATGTTGCAATGTTGTTTTTATAGGGAGTTGTTTCCAAGTCTGTTCAATAAGGAGTAAGAAGCAATATTTATTTAATAAAATATCTAATCATGGAACAAAGGCCACTGCTGTGTGAGCTGTGTCAAATGTCAAATTACATGTACTCTCATTATAGCAATTTATCAGCTTCTTCACTCTTTTTTAGTATAACATCAGAGAGCCAAATACATGTTTCAGCAATATAATATTCATAAGAGCAACTTGTAAGTAGTTCTCCAAACAAGTAGTCTTCTGCTTATAGCATATTTTGGTAAATCAAGTGATGATCTTTTTCTTTTGTCATATTATCCGTTCTTTACACGCCTCATGAAATGCAACAAGAGTAAAAGTCTAATTGTGCATTTTATTTTATATGTCAACCCATATATTGAGCTGTTTTCCAGTTTCTTTGTCTAATATGAGGACTGCATGAAACTGTTTCTGTCAGACAGACCTAATGAGTCAGCACCCGGACATTATATAACTGTGTAATTCAGGGGAGTAAGTTATTTTAAGTCTCACTATTAATCACCCATGTAATAAACACACACACTAAAGCTTGTATTACCACCTTTAGCTTTGACAATACACACTGATAATACTTCAATATTAGATTCTTCTCAGTAGACACCTAGAGCTTTACTGTGAACACTGAAGTTAGGACTTTAAAAAGTGGTGGGAAGTCATTTTTCTCAAGCACTTTAACTAATATACAATGGTTATGCTGCTCCAGGCTCATCCTCAGGGGAGGTCTCTCTTTATAGAGCATAATATTTCCATGTTCTGCTTCCCTCTACGTACATTTCAGTGGGAAATACTATACTTTTTATTTGACAGCTACACATACCCATTATTTTGAAGACTAGCATTTTACATACAAACCATATGGTACGACCTCAAGCAACCACTTCATTAGAGGTTTATGAATTCCAAACTAAAAATAAGGTAGTTAAAATAACGACTTCATTACTTAAACATAAGACAACATCATGACTCATTTCTTCTTAGTTGTGACGTGTTAATCTTATGACAAAGTGCCCTGCAGTCAAGCACAAGCCTCTGATGACGTTTTTGATGCAATAACATCCAGTCCATCAGTTCACTGCTAAGGAGTCACTACCAGGGAACAAAGTCATTAACACAGTGCAGATGAAGTCAAATAAACAAGGTACTTCTAATGCATTTTGCTTTTGAAAACATTTCTTCTTACCCAAATGTTTTAACTGGGTGAGCCCAGTTAAACCTTTGTGGGTCATTCACACCTTGATGTTATATGACATGAGTAATGAGTCATCATGATCATATGAATTAAGAAGTGAATTGTGAAGCCATCTGGGCAGTATGTTATGGTGACATTACAATCTTATGATAAGAGGTGTGTCAAAGGCTACAGCCCTCAAACATTTCTGTCTCAGATGTGAATATTTCTTTCTTCAAGAACAACCCCTGTCTTTTAAGAAGCCCTCTCACACTATAACAAAGGCTATACTTTAGTGTGTTAACATGCTAGCTGCTGTTAGTGGACCTCAAATTAATAGAGTGGACTTGGGTTTTACCCTTAGAGGTCACTGTAGTCATGGTCCATATGAATGAAGTATTTCTCGTTTCCTGGACGTGACTGGATACAACACTGACCACCAGCCATACACTAGTATTATGTACTGAAAGGCCTTTTTGTATTACTAGCTGCTTGAATAGAGGACAGGTCTGTGCTGAACCAGTGTTTTCTGTTACAATATTATGAAAATTATTTTGGCAGGTGAACTGCTAAATTTACTTGGCCCAAAGAGTTGTTTGTTAATGTCTTGCATGCCTTAATCTTTACACTGAAAGTGCTGACTGTGCTATGACTAAGAAGCAGCTGAATGGTGAGCCTGACTTTCAAACAACAAAAATGAGTCACGTCTAGTTTTGCCACAGCAAATTATAAGTCCTCATTATGGCCCATAGCTTTCTACTTCAGATTTAAATTTTCAAACAGGAGTAATGTGAAATGCCGTTCTCTATTTTATGTTACTTAGCTCATGATTTTTAAGTGAGGTAGCCTATTTGATTTTTTATTGACCTTTGTTTCTGCTTTATGTGGCACAGGAAACATTGCTCTGAGATGGAAGGGAAGAATAGTTTCCGCTAAATATCATCAAACTCTGGATGAAGTCATTTCAGGTTTAATTTTTTCATTCACTATCACAAATCACAAATTTGCCTCAGGGGACAAAGACACTTTCTGCCCTAACACACCCTCTGTCATAAAATTATCTCTGAACATGCAGTGATCTGCAAGTTTGAGTGGGTAAAATTCCTAAATCAAGTCTAGAAGGATAATTGCCAAACGGGGGTCACTAAGTACTACTAAGTTAGTAGGGTACCCAACTTTTGCACATGCCACAGTTAGTAATATTTTTAAATGATTTTTAAAGTTCATGAATTAAAAAGTAACAGTACCTGTGCGAACATTTGAAGAAAGGCTCTTTCTAGTGTGTATATGCTGCTATGTATGTGCAGCCCACTTCTTGTCAGTTCACAAGCTAATAAAATATGTCATTTGTCATCTATCTATCCATCTATCTGGCATCCTCCTTAAGTCCTTAGTCAGTATTGTCCCAAAGTAAGCTGAATCTGAATAGGATATGCACTCTAAGACATTCCAGTGATGAATGAGTCATTTGAATACAACTCTCATGACTCAGTTGATTTGAGACATTGTCTTTTGACTGCACTTTTTGTTTCAGAGTTTAATCTCAGATAGAAACTGAATTTTTCAATAAAGATCTGTTAAAAATATACTTCCAAAAACGTTTGATCATTTCTGTCAGTCAAATTGAGATGACTTAAAAGGCCATTGTTCCACAGCCTATGGTGGCTGTAAAGAGAAAACAAACAAAAATTCCCAAACATGTTAAAGTAGCCTATTTGTTGTTAATTAAGTTATAAGGTACCAAATATGCAATTACCAAATTATAAATTTTGCATAATCAAAAAACTAACATCTGTCAATGGATTTTGCTGGATTTTTGAACTCTTTTCTGTTCTACCACTTGGCACTGATATTGTTTCTTCTGCCAATGGGATAGCAGTTAAACTTATAAATGGGTAAGTGTTAGATCCCAAACTCAGGAATAGATAAAAGTAATTGGTTAGGAATAGGGTACCGTTGGGGTCTGGTTATGCATTATACTGTAAGACATGACTGGTTAGGGCTAGGGTGAAGGTTTGGCTCAGATTAAGGTAAGGGCAAACATATAGGCTATCTATGGAAAACAGACTACTGCCCCAGAATCTACTTGTGAGTCTTAGGATCTAACCCAAACCATTACAAATGTATATTGTACCCTTAACTTTTTTAATGCAACTTTTTCAAGTTGTGTTTATTTTATGAATGTAATTGTTCTTTTTCTTTCTTATTTCATTTATCCTATGTGTTGCTGGTTCTGTTTTTTTTTTAATGTTTTGTAAAAAAAAAAAAAAAAGAAGATAAATTTTTGCTATTTTAACATTGTTGACAGTCATAACAGCTCATAAATGGCACATAAAGTAAAAGTGTGTGGTGCAGTTGATTTGTAAATACATATATACTTTTATTTTATATATATCTTGTCTACTTTTTGAGACAACAGAAAACTAGTTTGACCTCCATACCCAGGATACACTTCACTCTTGCCATCTTGTTGAACGGTTAGGTTAGAAGAGTGGCAGACAGGTGTTAGCTGCCCATGCCAACAATAAATATAAAAATTCCATTAAGTAAAGCTGAGATCAAAATTATTATCAAGCAATATATGCATAAAGTCTGGCAAGAATATCAGTGACACAAGAAGATTTGGTGGGCTCCACAGAATAGGCAAACATGCAACTGGACTGTGCACATGATGTAATCAGCCAGAAACAAACATATTACTTGAGTGTGATAACTACAACGCAAAACTGAGATTTAATAGCAGCACTAAAGGAAGAGGAAATGGATGTCACTTTACAGTCTTTTAAAAAGACTATTTAGTGTTTTAATTAAATACGTAAAGGAAACTAAGATAATAAAGAAATTTTCCCTGCCTTTTTACTGTTCCACATTCCAGTTCAGTAGGTGGCGGTAATACACATATGAAGTTGTTGCCAACCGGCAATAAAATCTACGGAAGAAGAAGAAGAACAAGAACATGAAGAAGTGGTGAACTGCCCGTTAGCCTACTGCCGCTGTGCAAAAGTGATTATCAGTCAGCTAGCTGCTATTAGCAGCTACCTACACTGAGCTGTCTACTCGGCGAGGGGAAAAACTTTACCACTATTGAGACGTTTCCTCTATTTAAACGTCTATCGCTGGATTATATTTTCTTTTTTGAAAGCCCATGGATATGGCTACATTGCGATGTCGCACATGCTGATACAGAGGTAGGAGAAACTAGCTAACATCTCCTAAATTAGCTAGTCGGCGAGAAATACACACATAGCTGAGAGAGAAGAGTGGGCTAAGAGACCGGGCCCACCTCAGACTAAAGTACCGGTGGCAGCTGGTGAACAAGAACTTTGATAAGGGCCTGTCTCCAACACCGCTGCCGGGACACTAGAAAGACCGACCGGCTGTTAGAGAAGTCGGACGAGGACACCGCGGAACGTTTCAGAGGGTTTGGTCTCGGTTGTGACACTTTTCTCCAATAAGAGTGAGGAAGAGGAACGGTGTGGAAATGTCCTGTGACAGTAACGCTGCGTGTGTGTGTCATATCCTTCAGCTGTGAATTACTTCTCAAGACTTTAGTCCAACACTTGGTTTCATCTGGGAGCAGTCAGACTTGACAAAGACAGTCAACATGTCGAAAATGCCAGCAAAGAAGAAAAGTTGTTTCCAGATTACGAGTGTAACACAGGCTCAGGTGGCGGCCAGCAGCATCACCGACGACACCGAGAGCCTGGACGATCCAGACGAATCCCGGACAGAGGACGCGTCATCGGAAATATTTGACGTTTCTCGGGCTGACCTGGGGGTGTGTGATAGGAGTTCATCCGAGGAAACCCTAAACAATGTAGGAGAGCCTCAGGAGGGCCAGCCGCCTACCACAGGTCCTGTCAACGGGGGACTCTCTTATAAAAGTATAGGCACCCCACATAATTTAGGAGGAAGTGTGCCTTTGCCAGTTCCAGCTCAGCCTTTTGTTCCAGGCTCAGCCAGTCATCCTTTAACAGTCATTAATACGGCCCCTGCTGCCACCGTAGCCACCAGTGTGGCTCACATAGCTCCTGTTAGCACCAGCTGTACTTCCCGTTTCAGGGTCATTAAGCTTGACCATGGAACTGGAGAGCCCTTTAGAAGGGGCAGGTGGACGTGCACTGAGTTCTATGACAGAGATTCAGATTCAAATGTTAATCGGACTGTAGATACCATAAAGCCAATTCTAACCCTTGATCACAGTACAGACAGAGACAGTGGGCTAGGGGCCACCAGTGGTTTTGTGGTCACCAGCAGTAGTTTTTCTGTACAGGTTTTGGAGAACACATCAGAAAGTGGTTACTCTGTCGGGCACCTGGCCCACTCCCATCCTTCAGAGCCTCCGCAGCAGGGCTACAGCCTGGTTCCTCAGATAGGGAGCGGAGCAAGTGCCTTCCAGCCCACAGGCTATACAACTACAGTGTCACAACAACCAAATACTGCTTCCCAAAGCTTCCTCGCTAACAGCCTCAATGGTGTGCACCAAGCTGCCATGCAGCAGACGTCTCACAGTATGCCTCCTGTCACGCAGCCCCTGCAGTTTGCCTATTCTGCTCATAACACCGGCCTATCAGCTGGCCAGCCAGACTATCATCAGCAGCACTTTGTGTCAAGCACTCAGAACCTTCCCATGACGTCCATTCCTGTGGGGCCTCCAACCAGCCAGATACCCCCGCCTCTAATAATTCCTTCTGAGCCAGGAGCCCAGGGGCTGTGTGAAGAAGCAGCCTCAGCCCAGGGCCTCCTTCTACAAGTGGGCAATGCATCAGCCATGGCCCTCATCCTTCCAGGAAGTATTCAACAGCAGCCTGTCAGCCAGCCTTCAGGAGGGTTGGGTGTTGCCCCTGCATCTTCCATCACCACCACCACCACCACCACCTCTCACAGTGGTGTCCAGAATGTGCCAGCCACAGTGCCCAGTACCACCAACACACTTCCAGGTGTGTCAAATCAGGCACCTGGCACAGGGGGACATGTCCAGCCCCAAGGAGCCCATGGAGGAGCCGCAGCAGGACTGCCTTCCAGCTTCAGCAACCAAGTTGAAGATATTGGGCACAAGCCTGAGGCCCTACCTCAGCCCAGTGCTGGTGTGGTGCCAGGGAAAGATGGTGTAAAGCCTTTCATCAGTGGGGGCCTGTTTGATATCCATATCACCATGGATGTGGATGAGGACAGGTAAGAAGATATAATACAAAATGCTTAAGTTCTTTTGCATAAATATTGTTTACTGCTTGTTTGGTTAGCTGCGATCAATCAGTAATGTGATATGTTCTGGAAAAGCTATGGTATTTACATAGTGAATACAAACAGTGAAAGATTGTTAGAGGTAGTAAGTATGTACCTGGAGGTTTGCCCCATATTAAACATTCTTGTTGCATGCTACAGCATTGTGGTCATACCCCACTCTGTGAACAAAGTGCCAAAATTAGGCTCTCTGGAAGTAGAAGTGCTAGATTGTACCTAAAGAACAATGAAACACAGCCAGTGAAAACTGGCAGAGGCAGGAGGATGGCTTTTGTCTTTGTTTTTAATAGGCAACCCTCAAAATGCTGGATAGTAACTTGCCTCTTAGCCACCCACAGCCCTCTCCTTCATGCCTCCATTCAACCATAGAGGCTGTTTGGGTTTAAGGGGTGTGGCAACCAGCACTTGGATAAGTTACAACATACACAGTAGCTGTATATTGTAGCTGAGAGGAGAATAACTCCCCAAACATAGGTGGGTGGTTTTTTTTTCTCCTGTCTGTGAGAGACAGTTGGCATATTTTCCCTGGGCCATGATTCCACCCTTCCAACTTTAAACCTTGTAAATACTGACTCTTTATGTGCCTACAGTCATCTTCTAATGTATAGACTGTGGCTATTTTAGGGTGTTACCACTCTTTTCCTTTCTAAAGAAAGCGGAAGAGAGTTGTGGAGATGATATTTGAGCCAAGAATGACCTACATTAGAGCTGGAGTCCACACATACCCGTGTGCTCAGTGCTTACCATGAATGGTATAGGCAGAGGATGTGAGTTTACATTTTAGGAAGTTGAGGCCTGTATTTTTTTTTTTCTTTTTTCAATCAACCTCAGTTCAGACATTCTCAAAGTTAATCATTGTTTACACAGAGACTTTATCCCAGTAGCATCACAGATGGTTTGATAATGTGCAAAGGTCAAAAACAGTGTGTTGCATCTGATTTTATGAGAGGAACAGCCGGTGCCTGTTTTTAAGTCATTTCTGTGTGTATGTGTGAGAAAGAGGAGTGACATCAGTGGCTGTCTGTGTGATGCTATGGTGATACTGGCAGCAGGACAGGACGTGTCAGGGAGGTGGAGAGCACAGGCAGACGGGTGCACAGACACACACTTGCATTACACATACTTGTGACAGCAATAGCAGACACGTGACCCTCTGTCTCTGCCTCTGCACCGGCGATGACATGGCCAGAGTGAATCAGCAGGATGATGGCTGCCCTATCTCTCACACAAGTTTATGGGGACATATAAGGAGGGTGTAAACACACACATAATGCAATATGTTAGAGGGCCTCAATGTTTTGAGCTAATCTGCATAATTTAACCCCCCATCCGCCCCGCCCCCAAGGTTTTTATTTCTTATACAACATATTTGCAGCAAAATTGCTGCATAGCCATAAGTAATTCTTTGGCCCTTTGTAGCCGTTTTTTCAATAAAATAAGATGAACATTGCCATGAGAATGTAATTTCACAGTGCAGAATTTAACACTGAGGCCCAGATGAATCACACTTCATTAGGCTGTTTAGGATTGATTATTGTAATCTTTTAATCCTGTGAATCAGGACCCTGGTTTATGTACGGCTTTGATTGATGTCTTAATTTATGCAGGACATGATACAGTATCCATGATGTAACTGCATGGCGCTGGCCTATCTCAGACACACATACAAGTTGTTCTTTTGTCTAGTTTAGATAAAGTGCCTGGTGGTTATTTGATTTATGATGAAAAGTACATGAAGGAAGGTTTCATTTTTATGTACCCTTTTCCCTGAAAGTATTTTATCTAATGTTCAGTATGCACCACACTTGTTGCATTGTGGACCAGAGAATAAATAAATGTTTAACATTTTTGCCATACCAGTGGATCACATGAGCGCCACACTTTTGTCATTCAGTTCAACTTTTAAAGACCTACTGTTTCACTACTTACTACTGTGTTTATCAGAGGTACAGATGCTGCCTTAAATCCCATTTGTGGTTGCTAGTAGCTGTATGTTTGTCATTACTATTGCTTTTAGCAAATCTTTCTAAATGGCTTTTGCCTGCTTGATTAGTGGATATATCAACTTGCAGTTTTGAGAAGGGCTGTGGGGCACATTGGCGATTGCAGGTATCATCAGTTGTTATTAAAATGCTTTGTGAACTTATAACTTTGTTGTAGATGTCCAAAAAGAAAAAAAACAATTCAGGAACACACCCAGTATGACGAGGTGCAGATTTTCAGACTTTCTCCTTGTCAGAGGTGCATTGTTCTGTTCCATGATTCATTGGCTGGCTCTGCTTTGAATTACCGTGGAATTACAAAAGTGGAACAAAGCATTGCATGGGTGGAGTTGTGAGATGAGAGTGATTTCCCCTCAGCTTGGAATGTTCACAAGTCCGCTTAGCATGCTGCATCACTGCCAGGTAAAGTAATGAAGGTGCCCATGGGACAAATTGGTTTCCTTCAGTAGAAATACTTGGCCTTTAACCCAATTAATTTTCCCAGGGCAGACCACCCTCCCCTTTGCTTTACTGTCTCAGTTAGGAATGTTAATTACAAATCCATAATTGATTACAATTTCACAAGTGGAAGAATAGTTGTAGCTTAATTACAGTAGAAATAAATGCACTCTCTGAAACTATAATTTTCTAATCATGTTTTTTTTTTTCTCCCATTTATTTCAATAAGTGACCACTCATGAACATCCCAGAGAGCCAACCTTCTCACTGTCAGATGCAGGAAGGTTTTGAAGGAAAGTTGTATAATATATTCTCTCTCACTGGAGGCATACGTTATCAGTTACTTGGCACTATATATTCTGAATCATATTGGTATTTTGATATCAGCACGGAATACACCAAGCTTGAGATCCAACCATGAGGACTGGCAAAGATGCACATCAAAAGTGAAAGCACTGTGTATCAATGATGATGATGATGGTGGATTGGTACAGTTGGGTACAGTAGTCTTTTTTTTTTTTACATTGCCTGGGTTAATTTGTACCATGCAAATACTACTTACTGCACACTGTTGCTTTTATTTAACTGTTCCTCTGCTGGTTTCCTTTCCTACCCTACACACCCCTCTTCTGTCTGCAAAAACAGCCTGACACTGTTGGTTGCAGTGGTCCAGTCTTGCTGGGACACAATGCGACTTTTGTTCTAGGGCTGAAAATGACCTTAAGAATATGATATTTTTGACAAATTAATTAGTTTTTGTGACTTTTGGCATTGTCTGTCATGTTGTTGCAAGTGAGTATTTTGTGTTGGTATTGAGCAGGTAGTTACTATGACCATATTTGCATCTGCAGGCTTTTTTCAGAATGATCTTGAGCATGCACATTCACACACATCCACAGGTTGCAGTTCACCACTGGCGAGTATGAATCCAAGTGCTTGAATGAGGGTTAGTTAGTAATGGGAGCTGAACCTTACAAACCTTATAAACTTCAGTTTGTTTCCACCAGATTAAAAGGCCGTCACACCTATCGGCGAACAAGCCAGCAAACCTGGACCAAGAAAAGGACGGTAAACCAGCTGCCAAATTTACAAAACTTCCTGGACTTATCTGATAGCCAACATGTGATGTCATGGTGCGACTGTAGAAACTCAAATACACACACGATTAGCAGCTCTGCACACACACCGAGTGTCACATAAAGTTGTAATCTGATTGAAAGGTCAGCTGCAAAGTGGGTATGAGTTCAGCTTGGTGGAAATTGTGAGTTGTCCACCTCCAACCAAGGTGAACACAGCTTCTTTGGCAGTGGCTCAGTTGGTGAAGGTCCTTTTGCTGGCGTTCATGTGGAAAAATGGAAATGTTTGCTGCTGCTGCTGGGTGCCAGTTACAGCTGTGTTGACTTGAAGTTTAGTTGGAGCTTAGCTGTGTCTTGGTGGGTAGCACTTAGTGGTTTTCAGTTATATTTGTCACCACACTATTGTTTTACCTGCCAGTCAAGCAGTGGTGGACAGCTGTGAGGCAGAAAGAAGAGATTTCCTAGCTACACCAAGCTAAAACCATCTAATACAGCAGTCCCATAGTAAATCCTCCCTTCATGAAGGTGATAATTGGTCATTGTTTGTTTGAAACAGTATTAGAGAGGTGTTTTGTTCAACTTTACGATCATAATGGAAGCTGAGATTTTTGCTGCTGTTGACCTGTGCTACATTATACAGAGAGATGTGCCGTTATTTAGCTTAGCTTCACTGATGTACAGCAAATTAGGTGGAGAAAATGACAATTTTATTCTGTCTATCTAGGCAGCTAGCTCTCTATCTAGCTAGCTATCACTCTAAACCATTGCTGCACATGATATTTAAAGTGACAGCAAACTGTTAAATGTCTCTGTTGTTAATTGGAACTTTTCAACAGCTGCGAACATGTCACATTATAATATGGGTGTTAACATGAGCTTAGAGTTTTTTCCCCTCGTGATGCACACATTCACGTGAGGACACTGAAAATTGTGGTCTTAGTGTTAAATACTTGTACTGTAGCAACTCCCCTGACTTTATCTTGACAGCTTGACCCAAAGAGGGAGTGTGAGAGGACAGGGCGGAACAGAGAGTCAACTATGGGATGGGGGTCTGTGTGTTTTGAAGGTTGTAATTTGGTTGCAGCGGTGCCTGGAAACAAGGCATCAGCTTGTTTTCCACACATAGCTGACCTGCCTGAACTACCAGTGAGCGCATTCCAGGAGCCCTTGAATGACTGTGATTGTCGAATGCCCTGGGCTGCAGCCTGAGTAGACAGGTTTGCACCAGCTCTGGTTTTTGGGTTGGATGGCTGGCCTGTCTCTTGTGTGTGTGTCTCTCTTTAATCTGGCTACTCTCTCCTGTTTGTTTTTGTTTGTTTGTGTGTGTGTGTGTTTATCCCTCACTGACCTGTTAACACATCTCCCTTCCTGCTTCTCTAGTGCTGATGGAATATATTTTAATGATGTCTCATGG